CTTTAAGCACCCAAAACAACCCAGAAGCCACAGCGCACTCAGAACATCCTATACCAATGCCTTAGCAACCACCCAAAACCCCATAGCAACCACATAGCAACACCCTGGCAACCACTCACATTTGTGATCAAACACCACATTTCCATATTTTCTTTACAAATCCATTAAAAACTTACAATTAGAGAATTAAAAGGTACAGAAACTTATTTATTTTTAAAATTAAATCAATTAAATATTTTTGTTTGCTTAGTGAATAAATATAAATGTAATTTTTAATTCTACCATTGCATATGATAGCCAGAAGCGCTTTAAAACAAGTATTTTGGCCTCTGACCCTGATCTTACTGCACGTTATCAGTCTTGAGTTAAACTATGTTCCTCTTAGCACACAGTGAGTGAGTGAGTGAGTGAGCGAGAGAGAGAGAGAGAGAGAGACATAGAGAGGGAGGGAAGGAGTTAGTAGAGCGCAGACAGAAAACAGGCACTAAAGGAGGCTGTCGGACAGAAACACCACGAACATGAGTCAGAAACACACTGCAGTATAAAGAGACACACACTGAGGAGCAAACAGCAGAAAGACGGCGACTAAAGGACCCTGTATTGGAATCTGACAGACAGACAGACAGACAGACAGACAGACAGACAAAAAGACAGAGAGACAGCCGTCTCTTGGACTTTTCCCCGTCTGTGTGAGGTTGTGGCAGGCATGGCGTCGGAGCCGGGCACCCAGTCCAGAGTGATGTTTCAGACCAAAGAGGAGGAGCCTGCTCAACGCAAACTGGGCAAACTGACGGTCAAATACAACCGCAAAGACCTCCAGAGGAGGCTGGACATCGAGGAGTGGATCGACGGGCAGCTGAGAGAGAGTGAGAGAGAGAGAGAAAGAGAAAGAGAAAGAGTGAGTGAGAGAGAGAAAGAGTGAGTGAGTGAGTGAGCGAGAGAGAGAGAGAGAGACAGAGAGGGAGGGAAGGAGTTAGTAGAGCGCAGACAGAAAACAGGCACTAAAGGAGGCTGTCGGACAGAAACACCACGAACATGAGTCAGAAACACACTGCAGTATAAAGAGACACACACTGAGGAGCAAACAGCAGAAAGACGGCGACTAAAGGACCCTGTATTGGAATCTGTGAGACAGACAGACAGACAGACAGACAGACAGACAGACAGAGAGACAGACAGAGAGAGACAGAGAGACAGACAGACAGACAGACAGACAGAAAGACAGAGAGACAGCCGTCTCTTGGACTTTTCCCCATCTGTGTGAGGTTGTGGCAGGCATGGCGTCGGAGCCGGGCACCCAGTCCAGACATTGTTTGAGATGTCTTTGTTATGGGCTATGGTTAGGGGTAAGGGTAGGGGTAGGGTTAGGTCAAATAATGTCATATTTGCATTAAAAATGACATAACTGAGCGAATGACACTTAATGACAGTTGTCATAAACATGCATAAAACCTCCTTCATATTCATGACATGTGTCATGTCATGATTATGAAGGTGTCATGTCAGTCTTATGCACACCCCTTCAAGTAAAGTGTTACCGAATATTTTACGGCTTAAAGCTTCAGGAATGTGTTGAAATCTTCCTGCTACATTTATTCTAGTTTTTCTGGATCTATGTGAGCAGTGCTGAATGTCTCAGTGCTTTTATATGAACCTCCACCGCTTACATCTGACATGATGTCAATTTCCACAGAAAAACATTTCATCTCCTTCCTCAGACTGAAAAAACAAGCAAAAATCATGTCTACACTTACAACAGACGTCAACAGGGCAAGACAATGCACTGATAAATGTATACATAAGAATTGGACATTATATATGTGAACATATAGCTAATATACAGAGAGAGAGAGAGAGAGTTGGTTTTATATATTGTATTATTACAAGTAAAAACTACTATATCTATATATATATATAGATACAAAACTGAATATGCAACTGTAAATCATGAATATATGTATAGAAGTAAATCGAAATATATAGTTATGTTTGAATATATAAATATAAAATGTGAATATATATATATAGTTCTAATTCCGACTATATAATTGTAAATCAGTAAATTTATAAATCTTTAGAAAATAAAGTCATAATGCTAAATATTTAAATGTAAATAGCTATATATATGTTTAAATCCTGTATGTATGTGTGTATATATATATATAAGTCCTGAATATATATCGTCTACATCACAATACAAATATATCTTTATTATCAGGCATGTCAACAGACAGATGTTCTTATTGATTTTTAATGAAAACAGTATGCCTATACAGCCTGTATACATGTATCAATGCAGATATCATATATATTAATGTAAGTGCATATCACTTATCTAAATGACATACTCACGATTTACATTTATGTATTCAGACTTATAACTATATTCAGATTCATATATTCACAATATATGTATCCACAGCAACTGCCATCTTGACTAAACACATAAAAAAAAGATGCAAAAAAGTTTTTACTGATCAACTAACACAATTTTTGCACAGAGCAATTAAGATAAGTGTCCAGTGTAAGTGCATTACTGGTTAATTTAACCAGCTGAGGGACGAGGGTACATGACTGTAGGCCTATGTGCAATGACGTCACAGATGGTTGCCACTCATGTAGGTTAAGTTCTGTTGAACCAAGGACATTCCTTAAAGCGCACACAGATCTAGACTCTAATCACTGACGTCATGATTAGCCGGTGATGACGAGTCACGGACATCTGGAGACGCGCAACATCTGCCGTGTTACATCAGAGAGACTGTATCCACGCGGCGTGCTGCCATGGCAACAGGATTCTGGTTGGTTCAGCATGAAGGGATGTGCATGACATTTACTCGAATGCACTGAGGATACAGTGACATTAGAGGAGAGAAGGTGATGATATTTAAACAGATCTAGTTGTTTTTCCTCCACATTCCCTCTCCGAGACACAGAGGTTCTTCCGCCCACATGTGCTGATTATAACCCGCAGCCCGCTGACTGACAGCTGCTCTAATGCCAATCTCGCCCAACACAAGACACGCAACAAACACCTGCAATCTGCAATCGTTAACCAAGCCTGTTTATGCATGCACTTAAGACACGTTCACAGTAAGAATGATAACTGTAACGATAACTATACTATAAATAGCATCCACTATAGTCGGACACATGATAACGTTCTGTTTATCGTTCTGAAAGTGATTCCAATCAGTGTTATTTTAGTATAATTGAGACATTATAGATTTATTTTTTAACATTTTGAATTAATATTTTAATTTTAATTTTAATTTTACTTAACAGTTTTAATCATTTTGCTGTGTTTTTTTTTTCATTTTTATTACTATTTCACACACACACACACACACACACACACACACACACACACACAAACACACACACACACGGCCCAAACGAAATAATACTCCCCCCGGGGGACACAATCTTGTGGAAAACGGGCATCTGATATCCCCTTTAAACTCTATAGTTACGTTTATCTTTATAGTTATCATACTTGGTGTGAATGGGCATTTAGATTAAACCAGATCAAACCTGAGTGTATTATTGCACTTTGTGGAAAACTAAAAAAATTAACAGCATTTCTAATGCAGCAAAGTGAGATTTTTGGTTATAGAAATAAACTTTGTCTAATACAGATAATAGTAGTTTTAGGACTAATTTATATTAATGCATCTGCAACTTTTATCAAAAAATGTACATGTATTTTTATTGCATTCATGCTATCAGTTTATGCATTAAATTGAACTTATGACCTTGGCGTTGTAAACACCATGCTCTACTTTTAGATCTGCAGGAAGTAACTGGTGTGTTACTCAATGATAACTGAACCTACAGCCTTTCAGTTACCATCTTAACCCACCAGTCTACACCACCCTGATAACATGAGAAATGTGCTTTTGTGATATGATATCTTGCATATGACAGACGTAAACTGGTGTAAAGCTGTCTTGTGTTATACCATAAAAATACAAGCAGTTTCTATAGCTCAAGAAATAGAGCATAATGTGAGCAAGGCAATGCATGAATTGATAAAAAAAATGTAAGTTGCTTCAGATAAAAGTGTCTTCCTAATGCATAAATGTAAGATACAGTATCAAGGATCAAGGATTAATTTCTCATCGCTTCAGTATCAGAAATGACTGATTTCCTATGCATTTTTACGTTTATTTGGGTATATTTCTTGTAATAAAAAAACAAAACAAAAACACACAGTGTCATGCGACTAAATTGAAAATCTCAAGTAAACCAATCAATTAAAACATAAATTTCTTAATTCTTAATATGAACTATTAAGTCTGAAATTAATATAATTCAACATCAAATACAGATCAAACACTGATATCTTATATTTTAAATACATCACTGATTATTCAGCTCTCTACTGTTTACTGTAACTTTATATATATATAATAGCTGTTTCAGGATTTGGAGTCTTTGGAGAGTTGAGTGTTTTGTTAATATTTTTTTGTCATCAACACTTTCAACAACACTCACCTCAGAAATAGCGACAGATCACTAAACCCATCACCAGACAGGACTAAAATAGAAGCGAATATATCAAATGTTAGATAACAGATTACATGAACAGAGGTAATCACCTCTGCCTCAACATTTGAAATATCCAGCTGTCTTAGCAGTCATGGTTAATGTCTGACCCTGACCTGTCACTATTAAACACAAGCACTCAAGGACATGTGGGACATTCAAGCATTCAGCGGTTCAGATCTTTCAGCATGATGAGTGTGTGAGAGAGAAAGTGATGAATGTAGTGGCAGATGCCCAGCATCAGTGTGTGTGTGTGTGTTTACTCTACTGTAGCCGTTAGATGACACAGCAGAGACACTGAATGATTCCTGATAAACACACATATACTGAAGCACTGCTTTATCACACACATATCTTTCTTTTCTAGGATTTCTTTTTTCAGGGGATTTAAATGGAGCAGGCTTTGAGGGGAAGATGTCTGTTTTGTCCTAAATACATACAAAAGCAGCTCTATTTAAAGGGCACGCTTTCATGTTTACTGTGGTACTCTTGTGCATTTCACTGATATAATCCATCTGTAGATGTACGCTTAATGCAAGACACCCCAAGTGAATAGTCTAAAAAATGTAACTAATAGACATAACCATACTTTTTCAGTTGATTGATTACATTAAGAGTTGCAAACATTTTTGTATTACAAGTTTTCTGATGTTATATTTAAAGATGCAAACAAGGCATTACCTAATTAAATATCGACTAATTTCCAGAAATAATTCTGAACATTGGATAAAGTCAGGTTCAAAATTCTAGCTTCATTTTGTTGACATATTAGAGCTAAAAGTTTTTATAGAGGGGAATTTGGATATCTCTTTTTATCACCCCATGAATAAAAAAATACTGTCGACAGTCAGAAAAAAAATATTTACCATGTTTTTAGTAATCAAATGTTGTATAAAACCAGGTGAATGATATATGAACAAACCCCTCAGTAAAAACCTTCAGAATATAGATAGGAATAAAACTGTAAATTTTGATGTATGTAAGTGCTGCTGAAGTGGAGAAAAAACTCATTTTGCGAAAAACGTTGTTTACTTTATTTTTATACCAGTTTTACAAATGAGGACATCTCCAAATTGAGGTTTTTGGCGATTTTGCCAGTGTTTGCTCACTTTTGGGTACAACATTTTTAATATAATAATATAATAAATATTTAAGGCAGCAACTGAACTTAAATCATGACACTACAGGCAAAACCTCTGTTTTTTATGCACTGGTCAATATTGAGATTTTGGGTAATTGGGGTCTTCTTAACGTGTTGTTTCAGACTAGTTAAAAAAAAATAATAAATAAAAAACTTAAGTGTATTGCACGTTATCTATTTGCGGCATAGATTTCAATTTAAATACATATATTTAAAGATTTTTTTCTCCACACAAAATTTGTATTCTATAAATCTATATTCTGAAGGTTTTTACTGAGGTGTTTGTTCATATAATATAATATGTTATCATTGCATTTTATATATTTGAATATGTTTTAATTATAATACTCTCAATTCTCAAAATTAGTTTTTTCTCCACTTCAGCAGCACTCACATACACCAACATTTAGAGTTTTATTTCTGAAGGTTTTTACTGAGGGGTTTGTTCATATTTCATTCGCCTATAATTTTATACAACATTTTATTCCTAAAAACGTGGTGATTTTTCCCACTTTTGACAGTATTTTCTGATTTATGCAGTGATAAAAGAACATATTCAAAATCCACTCAGTAAAAATCTAATATGTCAACAAAATGAAAAGATTTTTGAACCTGGCTTTATCCAGTGTTCAGATTTCTGTATGCAAAATAGTGCATTTTTAATAGGATAATGCCTTCTAATACTTGTAATGCAGAAAAAGTTTGCAATTCTTCATATAATCAATCAGCAACTATGGTGATATATATGGTGACATTTTGAAGTGTAGTGTTTTGCCTTAAGTTTTTAACCTGAAGTAGGTAGGATGCGCTTGTATTTGTGCTGACATTCTGTGGGGTCAAAGGCCCACTGCATCAGTGCTACTGGAGAACGCTTCCACATTATGTGAATGTGTGTTGCAGTATTTGTGTTTTGATGGCTGTGAGCCTGAGGCAGGAAACCCTTATATTAGATTAGTAATGTATCCACATTAGGGAACCAGCGCCGCCTGACATCTGTGAAATCTCATTCAGACACAACACACGCTAACTGAGACCGAAATATGGCCTTCTTTAGTGTGACTGTTGTACAGTTATTACCGTGTAGAGGAATAATTCACCTGACCATTGACTCACACTTATGTTGTTCCAAACCTGCATGACTTTTAGTCAGAATGTTCATGCTGGCTCTTTTCTATATGAAAGCAGACAGAGATCAGGAGCTGTCACGCTGTAAAAAGGACAAAAAGACCATAAAAGATGCATTCATGATGCTAAACATCTCCCAAAAATAAAGTCAGTTTTGGAATAACTCGCGGTTGAGGTATTAATATTTTAAATTATCTTTTATATTTTCAATTTCAATTTAAATTTGAGTAATTTTGTTAAGTACTTTTGTAATTTTTTTGTCAATAAAAACACACTTTTGTATGTGTCTATTTAGCTTTATATTTCCGTTTTAGCATTAGTATTTCAGTCTGTTTTATTTCAGGTGGTTGTCAAGAAACTTTTCTCATTTTAAGTTTGTTTTTATCTAATATTTTTATTTCATATTCATATGTTTTTATTTTTATTTCAGCTTTATTAATATAATTAATGTATGTAATACATTTTGAATTGGCTTTTAGTTTTTATATATTTTATATATATTTATATATATGTTTATATTTATAGTTTTTTTTTAAATATTAGTTTAAGTTTGAGTAATTTTATCATGTGCTTGTGTCAAAGCAAGGCAAATTTTATTTATAGAACACAATTTTAACACAACCGTAGTTGATTCAAAGTGCTTTAGTTTACAATAAAAATAAATAAAAAATGTAAAAAAGAAAATGAGGGGAGAAATTGTCATTTTTATTAGTTAAATATTCTAGTAGTAAAAAATATTCAAAAAATATTCTAATTTGTTTTTATTTCAGTGTTAATTTTAGTCATTTTAATACTTCAATTTATATTATTTCAATTGTCAAGGCAACATTACAAATGTTAATTTAAGGTGAACTTTTTTTCATGTAGTGTCTTTATTACTATATTAATGTATGTAACAATATTCTGAATTAGTTTAATTTTTAGATTAGTTTTATATTAATCTTAGTTAAATTTTTAGTAATTTTGTTATTAGTTTTTAATATTTCTATTTAGCTTTAATTTTATTTTATTTCAGTTTTACTTTTAGTAATAGTACATCAACTTATTTTATTTCAGTTATTGTCAACACACATTTATAAGTTTATGTTTTTCATCTAATATTTTTATTTTATTTTATTTCAGCTTTATTTCAATTAAAGACATTTTTTTTTAATAGTTTTAGTTTTAGTTAACAATTTCAACACTGCTTTTAGGACATTAAAAATGACTTCTAACTGGACACCATGTAGCATATCGCCTATAAACAACATAATATGCAACAAGTTGTGATGTGTGAATAAAATACAAGAATTACTACAGCGGTGCCTAATAGAAGCAGCAGCTCTTTCCCTCACAGCTGTATAAACTCAAGTGCCCCGCCGCGGGGTAATTAGCACCTGCTAATGCAGCAGTTTCTCTAAAGTTCTCCTCTAATATTCATGTGAGCAGCAATTAGTGTGCTGAGTTTAAAGCCAATGGTGTGGTTTCTAATGCGGCGTCACTCTGGGGTCGTCATTTCTCTGATCTAATTTGAGATGCTTTTAAGAGCGGATGTCATTAAAACAGTCCAGCAGAGATGCTTTGAGCGTAAAACTCAAAGACTATTAGCAATTTCACACAAGGTATAGCCTTATATGATTTCCTGCATAAATACTATTCACTAAGAAAAGTCTGTAAAAACATGAAGGATTTTTTGTATTGATTTTTTTGCATGTGTTTTATCTGTATCTTGAATTATGCATGGCATTGCATAGTGTTTTAGGGTTGAAGAAAATGTGCATAAATTTAATGAAAAATGCACTGGTCATTTTCTGCCAGGACATTATCCATTTTTCTACGGATTATTTTACTAACAGTGTTGCTTAAGTATTTATAATAACACAGTGGATTTTCTGGTCAAAATATACTTCAAATATATGCTAAATATATGTACGCAACATAAACATAAACTAATAAACTTTAAATAAAATGTGATTCATATTTCATATATGCCAGTAATACAAAAATGATTTCCACACTTAATGCAAAAAAACATCCTGTCATAGTTTCATTATTAAATATTTTAATTTTATATGATACATTTATTTAATATTATATAACATTTATAAAAAGCATTTATTCAAATTGCTTAGAATCAGCATACATCTGTTCATTGTGAAAAATTGCACTTATTCAGTTTAAAAGTATGAACATGGTTAAATATGCAGCAAGTCATTTTCAATAATTACTTCAATAAATTGGATTTGTTGATGATAAATACATAAAACTGGTTATTGTGCATTTAAAACACATTAAAGTGTATTAGTACCATTACAGAAATATGACCGGTTTCATTTATGTATGACTGACAAATACACATCACATTAAGTTTATTAGTTTTTGTCATGTTAAAACTGTGTAACCCAAATATATGCTAATTTGGACTTAACATGTATTGTAATTTTAACATAAAAGAAAGTGCAACTGTAAAATCCTTCAATAGATAAACTGTAAGCTACATTACCATAGATGGTTGCATAGACAGTTTTTCATAATAAATTAACCAAATTTTTTTTTTAAACTTTATAACAGCATGTTAAACCTTAACCAAGATCTCTCTCTGACCGCAGGACTTTATCAATGGGCTGCTCTACCGAATGAAGGGACTGCGCAAGATGTCAGGATCTCTGAAGAAATAGCATTTGGTCAAAGGCTGGATTTTTTAAGATAATGTGAGCCACCCAGCCCCGCCCACAACAACAAGCCCCGCCCACAAGTCCTCCTGTCTGTAGAGCGTGGAGTGTCTGTCTGTGGATGTTTCTATAATTCACAGCACACTTGGGCCAATGACTTCTAGAAACAGTGTTTTTGACCACTAATAATCCTGTACAGTTTCTCCAGCATTGCAGATGAACTGTACTGCCTATTATTACTCAAACCAGATGTTGTTTTTGTGTACATTTTCTTCCCTATTTATATATATATATATTTTGTTCTGACAAGTGTTGTATGTAATAACAAACAATTTCTTTTCAAGATTTTAGATGAAGAGCATAGATACAGTTCGTGATAATAAAATTCAGAATCCAGGATATCTTTTCTTACATTCTGCCATTGTCTGATTTCAGTTCTGAAACGGAGATATTTACTGATGACAATTAATACTGCAATATGAGCGCAGAATATTCTGGCTTTAATACTTTACAGAGTCTCTGACAGAATAATTTGGTCCAAAATTAATTTTTATGGGTTCAGTCTTCTGCAAATAAATGGTCAAATATGCATTCATCATGATGCTTTTATATACTATAACATGTATGACATATGTTAGCATGAAATGCATAAATATGTCCAGTGTTGCATTAATAAATGCAGTATTTCAGATCATGCACATGTATATCTGGTGAAGCCGAAGATGATCTGCATGAGGATAAATGAACCACAACTACGTCCAGCAGCTCTAAAAAGGCACTTTACAGCTCAAATAACAAATATTTTATTGAAGAATTAACAAACATACGAAAGCTTTGTGTTTGACTGTAATACTTGTTTGTTTTGATAAACTTACTGGCTTTGGTGAGCAACAGCATGATGCCACAGATTCTGTCTATAACCCAGAATAATCCTTTCAACTATATTTACATTTGATTGAAGCTTTTAAATTACTTTGATTATATGAACTTTAAAATGAGATGGAGAAACACTCCAGTGAACTATTAAACACAATAAAACACGCCAGTAAACAACAGTAAGGCTGGAGAAAGCAAAAGTGCATGTAGTGGTAATAAAGAGTAAAGATGGCTCTTGAAGGTTAACTTTTATGCCGCATTTCTCAGTTTAGTCATTAACCTCAGCTGTTTACTGTGATGCTGTGGTTGATAAAAGGGAAAAATAAAATACAGGTGATTAGTACCATTACAGAAATATGACCGGTTTCATTTATGTATGACTGACAAATACACATCACATTAAGTTTATTAGTTTTTGTCATGTTAAAACTGTGTAACCCAAATATATGCTAATTTGGACTTAACATGTATTGTAATTTTAACATAAAAGAAAGTGCAACTGTAAAATCCTTCAATAGATAAACTGTAAGCTACATTACCATAGATGGTTGCATAGACAGTTTTTCATAATAAATTAACCAATTTTTTTTTTAAACTTTATAACAGCATGTTAAACCTTAACCAAGATCTCTCTCTGACCGCAGGACTTTATCAACGGGCTGCTCTACCGGATGAAGGGACTGCGCAAGATGTCAGGATCTCTGAAGAAATAGCATTTGGTCAAAGGCTGGATTTTTTAAGATAATGTGAGCCACCCAGCCCCGCCCACAACAACAAGCCCCGCCCACAAGTCCTCCTGTCTGTAGAGCGTGGAGTGTCTGTCTGTGGATGTTTCTATAATTCACAGCACACTTGGGCCAATGACTTCTAGAAACAGTGTTTTTGACCACTAATAATCCTGTACAGTTTCTCCAGCATTGCAGATGAACTGTACTGCCTATTATTACTCAAACCAGATGTTGTTTTTGTGTACATTTTCTTCCCTATTTATATATATATATATATTTTGTTCTGACAAGTGTTGTATGTAATAACAAACAATTTCTTTTCAAGATTTTAGATGAAGAGCATAGATACAGTTCGTGATAATAAAATTCAGAATCCAGGATATCTTTTCTTACATTCTGCCATTGTCTGATTTCAGTTCTGAAACGGAGATATTTACTGATGACAATTAATACTGCAATATGAGCGCAGAATATTCTGGCTTTAATACTTTACAGAGTCTCTGACAGAATAATTTGGTCCAAAATTAATTTTTATGGGTTCAGTCTTCTGCAAATAAATGGTCAAATATGCATTCATCATGATGCTTTTATATACTATAACATGTATGACATATGTTAGCATGAAATGCATAAATATGTCCAGTGTTGCATTAATAAATGCAGTATTTCAGATCATGCACATGTATATCTGGTGAAGCCGAAGATGATCTGCATGAGGATAAATGAACCACAACTACGTCCAGCAGCTCTAAAAAGGCACTTTACAGCTCAAATAACAAATATTTTATTGAAGAATTAACAAACATACGAAAGCTTTGTGTTTGACTGTAATACTTGTTTGTTTTGATAAACTTACTGGCTTTGGTGAGCAACAGCATGATGCCACAGATTCTGTCTATAACCCAGAATAATCCTTTCAACTATATTTACATTTGATTGAAGCTTTTAAATTACTTTGATTATATGAACTTTAAAATGAGATGGAGAAACACTCCAGTGAACTATTAAACACAATAAAACACGCCAGTAAACAACAGTAAGGCTGGAGAAAGCAAAAGTGCATGTAGTGGTAATAAAGAGTAAAGATGGCTCTTGAAGGTTAACTTTTATGCCGCATTTCTCAGTTTAGTCATTAACCTCAGCTGTTTACTGTGATGCTGTGGTTGATAAAAGGGAAAAATAAAATACAGGTGTAATGCTCTATATAAAATAAAATAAAAAAAGTAAAATAAAATACAGGCGTATTGCACCTAATAAAATACAATGAAAATACAAGTATAATTATCTAAATAAAAATGAAATAAAATGTAAAAAAGTAAAATTAAATACAGGCGTTAATGCTCTTAATAAAATAAAATAAAATAAAATAAAAAATTCAGGTATAATGTACAAAATAAAATAAAATAAAATAATAAAATATAGGTGTAATGCTCTATATAAAGTAAAAAGTAATGTAAATGAAAATAAAATACAAGTATAATACTCTTAATAAAATAAAAGAAGTAAAATAAAATAAAGGTGTAATGCTCAAAATAAAATAAAACCAAACAAAATAAAACAAAAGTAAAATTAAATTAAGCTCAAAATAAATTACAAGTAACAAATAAAATAAAATACAGGCATAATCCTCTAAATACAATAAAGTAAAATAATATTAAATTCAATTACAGATAAAAAATAAAATAACACTCAGAATAAAAAAAAAATACAGGTGTAATGCTCTAAATAACATCATAAAATAGAAAGTAAAATACAGGTGTAATGCTCAAAATAAAGTAAAAGTAATAGTAAATAAAATACAATACAATAAAAACCATGTTCTAGGCTTTTCAGGTCGTGACTACGTCCTGGAGTGTGATGTAACTACAGAATGTATGTGGGCTGAAGGTCAAACACTGATTTACTGTATACACACACACACACACACTCTCTCACTCTCTCACTCACTCACTCACTCTCTCACTCTCTCACTCACTCACTCACTCTCTCACTCTCTCACTCACTCACTCACTCTCTCACTCTCTCACTCACTCACTCACTCTCTCACTCTCTCACTCACTCACTCACTCTCTCACTCTCTCACTCACTCACTCACTCTCTCACTCTCTCACTCACTCACTCACTCTCTCACTCTCTCACTCACTCACTCACTCTCTCACTCTCTCACTCACTCACTCACTCTCTCACTCTCTCACTCACTCACTCACTCTCTCACTCTCTCACTCACTCACTCACTCTCTCACTCTCTCACTCACTCACTCACTCTCTCACTCTCTCACTCACTCACTCACTCTCTCACTCTCTCACTCACTCACTCACTCTCTCACTCTCTCACTCACTCACTCACTCTCTCACTCTCTCACTCACTCACTCACTCTCTCACTCTCTCACTCACTCACTCACTCTCTCACTCTCTCACTCACTCACTCACTCTCTCACTCTCTCACTCACTCACTCACTCTCTCACTCTCTCACTCACTCACTCACTCTCTCACTCTCTCACTCACTCACTCACTCTCTCACTCTCTCACTCACTCACTCACTCTCTCACTCTCTCACTCACTCACTCACTCTCTCACTCTCTCACTCACTCACTCACTCTCTCACTCTCTCACTCACTCACTCACTCTCTCACTCTCTCACTCACTCACTCACTCTCTCACTCTCTCACTCACTCACTCACTCTCTCACTCTCTCACTCACTCACTCACTCTCTCACTCTCTCACTCACTCACTCACTCTCTCACTCTCTCACTCACTCACTCACTCTCTCACTCTCTCACTCACTCACTCACTCTCTCACTCTCTCACTCACTCACTCACTCTCTCACTCTCTCACTCACTCACTCACTCTCTCACTCTCTCACTCACTCACTCACTCTCTCACTCTCTCACTCACTCACTCACTCTCTCACTCTCTCACTCACTCACTCACTCTCTCACTCTCTCACTCACTCACTCACTCTCTCACTCTCTCACTCACTCACTCACTCTCTCACTCTCTCACTCACTCACTCACTCTCTCACTCTCTCACTCACTCACTCACTCTCTCACTCTCTCACTCACTCACTCACTCTCTCACTCTCTCACTCACTCACTCACTCTCTCACTCTCTCACTCACTCACTCACTCTCTCACTCTCTCACTCACTCACTCACTCTCTCACTCTCTCACTCACTCACTCACTCTCTCACTCTCTCACTCACTCACTCACTCTCTCACTCTCTCACTCACTCACTCACTCTCTCACTCTCTCACTCACTCACTCACTCTCTCACTCTCTCACTCACTCACTCACTCTCTCACTCTCTCACTCACTCACTCACTCTCTCACTCTCTCACTCACTCACTCACTCTCTCACTCTCTCACTCACTCACTCACTCTCTCACTCTCTCACTCACTCACTCACTCTCTCACTCTCTCACTCACTCACTCACTCTCTCACTCTCTCACTCACTCACTCACTCTCTCGCTCTCTCTCTCTCACACACACACACACGAGGTCATAAAGTGATAACACAGTAAAGCAGCTGATGTGCTGATATGTGCTTTGACTAACTCAGTGTACAGTTCACACACACATAACACACTTAGCACATTCAATGTTTTCCATTTATTGTTGATTTTGTCTTTTTGTTATGTCTGCCAATGCTGATGCCAACAGATAACAGTACAGTACAAGCCAGTGAAGTCATGTAGCGTCTTAAATGTCAGTATGGCTCTGGAACACTAATGCACTGGACTTCCTGTCATTCGTCTCTGACAGCGCTCTGCTTACCCTCAATACTGGCCTTTGAATTATTCATGACAACATGGAAATGCCAGCAAAGAGAAGACGCGACGTGAAGAACTAGTTCTCTAGTGCACATGACCTGCAAGTCTTTTATTAAAGTCCAGTCCAGTTTTATATTTACAGATGGTCATATTACAGCTTCTAAGAGTCTATTAATTCCACCAACGATGATAACAACATAATTTTCACACTTTGAACAATCCTGAGTCTAAGGCTACTTTGTGTTGTCAGAAGCATATTTAAGCGACATTATTATTTTCTGTTGGCTACAATTAAATAAGTTAATCACCTAAATCATACGGCTGCTCGTGAAGGTTTCAGGGTTTCTTCTTGCCTTTCTTAGGGGCCGTATATGAGGAAGTGCGATGCTCTTTTCTGTCATATTTGTCGTGACCTTCCCTGTGGCAGAATGACAGACAAATTCAACACTAATTAATATCGCAAGTACAGTACTTCAAAACGCAGCACATTTCACATTTGGCAAGATCTCATGGAATAAACCCAGTGAATGATTCCTGAATGAGTCCAAATGCTGAAGAGCGAGAGTTTAATGCGCCGAGATTCAGATTAACGCTCAACTCGGTCAAAATATTCAATCTGACAGAGGGTAAGATGTGGCATGAGGTCTGAAAAAAACGAAACAAAACTGTTAAGTACGGAAGCCCATTTCTGACGCATAAGAAAAAAAATATGCTTTGGTAAATCATATTTATAATAATTTTTTTCTGTCATAATAATATTAAAATTATGAGATACAAAGTCATAATTATGATTTACCAAAGCATTATAATGACTTTTTTTTTTTGACTTTGTCAAAAGTTTTACTTTTTATGTGATAATTATGACTTTTTAACTTTTGATGTCATAATTATGACTTTTCAACTTTTTATTTAATAATTATGAATTTTTACCTCATAATTATGACTTAATATGTCATAATTTCAATTGTATATCATAGCTATATTATATCATAGCTTAGTATATCATCATTTGTGACTTTTTGTAATAATTACACCAACATTTTATGTCATTTTATGACTTAGTATGTCCTAATTTCAACTTTTTATCACATAATGTGCCTATCCTATAAATATGGCTATTTATCTCATAATTATGACTTAGTATTTCATCATTTCGACTTTTTGACTGTCAAAATTATGACTTTTTATCTCATAATTTCAACTTCATCTGATAATTATGATTTAGCAGTATCTCATAATTTCAACTTTTTATCTCATAATTATGTCCGAGCATTTCATAATTTTGACTTGTCATAATTATGATTTACCAAAGCCTTATGATTATTTAGGTCATAATTTCAACTTTTATCTCATAATTATGACTCAGAATGTCATAATTTCAACTGTATATCTCATAGTTATGACTAACCATATCAAAAGTTTGACTTTTGTGAGATAATTATGACTTTTTAACTTTTGATGTCATAATTATGACTTTTCAACTTTTTATTTAATAATTATGAATTTTTACCTCATAATTATGACTTAATATGTCATAATTTCAATTGTATATCATAGCTATATTATAGCATAGCTTAGTATATCATCATTTGTGACTTTTTGTAATAATTACACCAACATTTTATGTCATCTTATGACTTAGTATGTCCTAATTTCAACTTTTTATGTCATAATCATCACTTTTAATCATAATTTCAACTTTTTATCACATAATGTGCCTATCCTATAAATATGGCTATCTCATAATTATGACTTAGTTTTCATAATTTCGACTTTTTGACTGTCAAAATTATGACTTTTTATCTCATAATTTCAACTTCATCTGATAATTATGATTTAGCAGTATCTCATAATTTCAACTTTTTATCTCATAATTATGTCCGAGCATTTCATAATTTTGACTTGTCATAATTATGATTTACCAAAGCCTTATGATTATTTAGGTCATAATTTCAACTTTTATCTCATAATTATGACTCAGAATGTCATAATTTCAACTGTATATCTCATAGTTATGACTAACCATATCAAAAGTTTGACTTTTGTGAGATAATTATGACCACACACACACACACGAGGTCATAAAGTGATAACACAGTAAAGCAGCTGATGTGCTGATATGTGCTTTGACTAACTCAGTGTACAGTTCACACACACATAACACACTTAGCACATTCAATGTTTTCCATTTATTGTTGATTTTGTCTTTTTGTTATGTCTGCCAATGCTGATGCCAACAGATAACAGTACAGTACAAGCCAGTGAAGTCATGTAGCGTCTTAAATGTCAGTATGGCTCTGGAACACTAATGCACTGGACTTCCTGTCATTCGTCTCTGACAGCGCTCTGCTTACCCTCAATACTGGCCTTTGAATTATTCATGACAACATGGAAATGCCAGCAAAGAGAAGACGCGACGTGAAGAACTAGTTCTCTAGTGCACATGACCTGCAAGTCTTTTATTAAAGTCCAGTCCAGTTTTATATTTACAGATGGTCATATTACAGCTTCTAAGAGTCTATTAATTCCACCAACGATGATAACAACATAATTTTCACACTTTGAACAATCCTGAGTCTAAGGCTACTTTGTGTTGTCAGAAGCATATTTAAGCGACATTATTATTTTCTGTTGGCTACAATTAAATAAGTTAATCACCTAAATCATACGGCTGCTCGTGAAGGTTTCAGGGTTTCTTCTTGCCTTTCTTAGGGGCCGTATATGAGGAAGTGCGATGCTCTTTTCTGTCATATTTGTCGTGACCTTCCCTGTGGCAGAATGACAGACAAATTCAACACTAATTAATATCGCAAGTACAGTACTTCAAAACGCAGCACATTTCACATTTGGCAAGATCTCATGGAATAAACCCAGTGAATGATTCCTGAATGAGTCCAAATGCTGAAGAGCGAGAGTTTAATGCGCCGAGATTCAGATTAACGCTCAACTCGGTCAAAATATTCAATCTGACAGAGGGTAAGATGTGGCATGAGGTCTGAAAAAAACGAAACAAAACTGTTAAGTACGGAAGCCCATTTCTGACGCATAAGAAAAAAAATATGCTTTGGTAAATCATATTTATAATAATTTTTTTCTGTCATAATAATATTAAAATTATGAGATACAAAGTCATAATTATGATTTACCAAAGCATTATAATGACTTTTTTTTTTACTTTGTCAAAAGTTTTACTTTTTATGTGATAATTATGACTTTTTAACTTTTGATGTCAAAATTATGACTTTTTATCTCATAATTTCAACTTCATCTGATAATTATGATTTAGCAGTATCTCATAATTTCAACTTTTTATGTCATAATTATGTCCGAGCATTTCATAATTTTGACTTGTCATAATTATGATTTACCAAAGCCTTATGATTATTTAGGTCATAATTTCAACTTTTATCTCATAATTATGACTCAGAATGTCATAATTTCAACTGTATATCTCATAGTTATGACTAACCATATCAAAAGTTTGACTTTTGTGAGATAATTATGACTTTTTAACTTTTGATGTCATAATTATGACTTTTCAACTTTTTATTTAATAATTATGAATTTTTACCTCATAATTATGACTTAATATGTCATAATTTCAATTGTATATCATAGCTATATTATAGCATAGCTTAGTATATCATCATTTGTGACTTTTTGTAATAATTACACCAACATTTTATGTCATCTTATGACTTAGTATGTCCTAATTTCAACTTTTTATGTCATAATCATAACTTTTAATCATAATTTCAACTTTTTATCACATAATGTGCCTATCCTATAAATATGGCTATCTCATAATTATGACTTAGTTTTCATAATTTCGACTTTTTGACTGTCAAAATTATGACTTTTTATCTCATAATTTCAACTTCATCTGATAATTATGACTTAGCAGCATCTCATAATTAGTATTTCATAATTTTGACTTGTCGTAATTATGATTTACCAAAGCATGACCTTTTTCTAAGGAGTAAAGAATGTAAATTGAAAAAGTAAATAATCATATGCTGAAATTCAGTAAATAAATGACTGTTGCTGTTCAAGTCGCCTCTTTAAGCCCTTTCAGAATCATGGTATGGTTGCCAGGGAATTGAGTTGCTAGGATATTCTGTGTGGTTGCTAGGGTGGTCCGAAGAGTCCACCTTCAAGTTTGTAAAATTTAATTTGAGGAATCATTGTCTAGATAGTGCTAGAGGTTTGATGAGTATGAGAACTAGTAGTACTAGTGATGCTCATCTCAGTAAACACTACTGAAGACAACAAGAGAAATGAGACGATCGTCACCCTTCGTACCTAAAGCAGCGGGCGCAGTACAGATCTCGCTCACACGTGTGGCAGCGAATGGTGGCGTTCTGATTACAGATGCAGCACCACGGCAGCTCTTCATCATCATCCTCATCCCTATCATCATCTTTTACACGCTGGATCTGTGAGGCAGCAGCGGCCGGCTTTGATTTAGACCGCAGCACTGAGAGCTTGAACACACAGGAAAAAAATAATGTACAATTCAGAAAAAAGTACATTTTAGCGTTTGTATTATGCATGTGTGTCGGGTTGTTACCGGTTTCCTGCTGGACGTGTCATTCTCTCTGTTCATCGGGCCGCTGGACTCAGAATGTCATAATTTCAACTGTATATCTCATAGTTATGACTAACCATATCAAAAGTTTGACTTTTGTGAGATAATTATGACTTTTTAACTTTTGATGTCATAATTATGACTTTTCAACTTTTTATTTAATAATTATGAATTTTTACCTCATAATTATGACTTAATATGTCATAATTTCAATTGTATATCATAGCTATATTATAGCATAGCTTAGTATATCATCATTTGTGACTTTTTGTAATAATTACACCAACATTTTATGTCATCTTATGACTTAGTATGTCCTAATTTCAACTTTTTATGTCATAATCATAACTTTTAATCATAATTTCAACTTTTTATCACATAATGTGCCTATCCTATAAATATGGCTATCTCATAATTATGACTTAGTTTTCATAATTTCGACTTTTTGACTGTCAAAATTATGACTTTTTATCTCATAATTTCAACTTCATCTGATAATTATGATTTAGCAGTATCTCATAATTTCAACTTTTTATGTCATAATTATGTCCGAGCATTTCATAATTTTGACTTGTCATAATTATGATTTACCAAAGCCTTATGATTATTTAGGTCATAATTTCAACTTTTATCTCATAATTATGACTCAGAATGTCATAATTTCAACTGTATATCTCATAGTTATGACTAACCATATCAAAAGTTTGACTTTTGTGAGATAATTATGACTTTTTAACTTTTGATGTCATAATTATGACTTTTCAACTTTTTATTTAATAATTATGAATTTTTACCTCATAATTATGACTTAATATGTCATAATTTCAATTGTATATCATAGCTATATTATAGCATAGCTTAGTATATCATCATTTGTGACTTTTTGTAATAATTACACCAACATTTTATGTCATCTTATGACTTAGTATGTCCTAATTTCAACTTTTTATGTCATAATCATAACTTTTAATCATAATTTCAACTTTTTATCACATAATGTGCCTATCCTATAAATATGGCTATCTCATAATTATGACTTAGTTTTCATAATTTCGACTTTTTGACTGTCAAAATTATGACTTTTTATCTCATAATTTCAACTTCATCTGATAATTATGATTTAGCAGTATCTCATAATTTCAACTTTTTATGTCATAATTATGTCCGAGCATTTCATAATTTTGACTTGTCATAATTATGATTTACCAAAGCCTTATGATTATTTAGGTCATAATTTCAACTTTTATCTCATAATTATGACTCAGAATGTCATAATTTCAACTGTATATCTCATAGTTATGACTAACCATATCAAAAGTTTGACTTTTGTGAGATAATTATGACTTTTTAACTTTTGATGTCATAATTATGACTTTTCAACTTTTTATTTAATAATTATGAATTTTTACCTCATAATTATGACTTAATATGTCATAATTTCAATTGTATATCATAGCTATATTATAGCATAGCTTAGTATATCATCATTTGTGACTTTTTGTAATAATTACACCAACATTTTATGTCATCTTATGACTTAGTATGTCCTAATTTCAACTTTTTATGTCATAATCATCACTTTTAATCATAATTTCAACTTTTTATCACATAATGTGCCTATCCTATAAATATGGCTATCTCATAATTATGACTTAGTTTTCATAATTTCGACTTTTTGACTGTCAAAATTATGACTTTTTATCTCATAATTTCAACTTCATCTGATAATTATGACTTAGCAGCATCTCATAATTAGTATTTCATAATTTTGACTTGTCGTAATTATGATTTACCAAAGCATGACCTTTTTCTAAGGAGTAAAGAATGTAAATTGAAAAAGTAAATAATCATATGCTGAAATTCAGTAAATAAATGACTGTTGCTGTTCAAGTCGCCTCTTTAAGCCCTTTCAGAATCATGGTATGGTTGCCAGGGAATTGAGTTGCTAGGATATTCTGTGTGGTTGCTAGGGTGGTCCGAAGAGTCCACCTTCAAGTTTGTAAAATTTAATTTGAGGAATCATTGTCTAGATAGTGCTAGAGGTTTGATGAGTATGAGTACTAGTAGTACTAGTGATGCTCATCTCAGTAAACACTACTGAAGACAACAAGAGAAATGAGACGATCGTCACCCTTCGTACCTAAAGCAGCGGGCGCAGTACAGATCTCGCTCACACGTGTGGCAGCGAATGGTGGCGTTCTGATTACAGATGCAGCACCACGGCAGCTCTTCATCATCATCCTCATCCCTATCATCATCTTTTACACGCTGGATCTGTGAGGCAGCAGCGGCCGGCTTTGATTTAGAACGCAGCACTGAGAGCTTGAACACACAGGAAAAAAATAATGTACAATTCAGAAAAAAGTAAATTTTAGCGTTTGTATTATGCATGTGTGTCGGGTTGTTACCGGTTTCCTGCTGGACGTGTCCTTCTCTCTGTTCATCGGGCCGCTGAGCTCTGGTGGGATGTTGTAGCCGCTGGCCTCATCTAAAGCTGCTTCCTCTGATAACTGAACGAGTGACAGAAAACACACGCAAGACGCCTTCAAACTGAGCTCTGACGGATCGATCTAAATACCAACCTCTGGTGGTTGCTATGGGATGTGCCACAGTTCAAAATAAACTGGCTATAATAGCCTAATTAATATACACTACTATAGTTATGACTTATAGTTATTCGTTTTTTTGTCATAATAATGACTTCGTATTTCACAAGTAAACATTTCTGGTGGTTGCTATGGGATGTGCCACAGTTCAAAATAAACTGGCTATAATAGCCTAATTAATATACACTACTATAGTTATGACTTATAGTTATTCGTTTTTTTTGTCATAATAATGACTTCGTATTTCACAAGTAAACATTGGCCCGGTTTCATAGACAGGGCTTAGACTAAGCCAGGATTAGCCCATAGTTCAATTATGACTAATTGAGTAATTGAGGACAATTAAGTATGACTTCGTATTTCACAAGTAAACATTGGCCCGGTTTCATAGACAGGGCTTAGACTAAGCCAGGATTAGGCCATAGTTCAATTAGGACTAATTGAGTAATTGAGGACAATTAAGCGTACATTTTTATAAACATGCCTTAGAAAAAAGCATTACTGGTGTGCATCTTAAGACAAAACAAAGGCATTGACATGTTTTAAGATCAGTCAGTGCAAGTTTCTTTCAGTTGAAACAGCTCAGATTTACATTTTAGTCAAGGACTAGGCTTAAGCCTTGTCTGTGAAACCGGGGGATTGTTTACTTATCTCATAGTTATGACTTAGTATTTCATAACTTTGACTTTTATGTCATAATTATGACTTACTATTGTCATACATTTTTACTTTTAAGTCATAATTATGACTATCTCATAGTTATGACTTATGTGACAATTTACACTTTCCATTTCATAATTATGACTTGTCATTTTTTTACTTCTACAACATAATTATTACTATTTATCTAATAGTTGACTGTCATAATTCCAACTTTCCAACATAATTGACATATCTCATAATTGAGCATGTCATATTTTTTCTTTTATGTCATAGTTATGACTATCTCATCGTTGACTTAGTGTTTCATAATTTTGAATTTTTGTGTCATAATTATGACTATTTCATAGTTGACTTTGTATTTCATAACTTTGACTTTTATGTCATAATTATGACTTACTATTGTCATACATTTGTACTTTTATGTCATAATTATGACTATTTATCTCATAGTTGACTTAGCATTTCATAATTTTGAGTTTGTCATAATTAAGACTATTTATCTTAGTTCTGACTTAGTATGTGATAATTTAGACTTTCCATTTCATAATTATGACATAGTATGTAATTTTTATACTTTTATGTCATAATTATGACTATTTATCTCATAGTTTACTTCATATTTCATAAGTAAACTTATTGTTTACTTATTTATCTCTTAAATAAGGCTTAGTATTTAGTATGTCATAACTATGATTTACTATTGTCATTCATTTTTACATTTTCTCATAGTTGACTTAGCATTTAATACTTTTGAGTTTATCTAATAGTCATGACTTCAGTTGAAACAGCTCAGATTTACATTTTAGTCAAGGACTAGGCTTAAGCCTTGTCTGTGAAACCGGGGGATTGTTTACTTATTTTACTTTTAAGTCATAATTATGACTATCTCATAGTTATGACTTATGTGACAATTTACACTTTCCATTTCATAATTGACTTGTCATTTTTTTTTACTTCTACGACATAATTATTACTATTTATCTAATAGTTGACTGTCATAATTTCAACTTTCTATCTCATAATTGACATATCTCATAATTGAGCATGTCATATTTTTTTCTTTTATGTCATAGTTATGACTTTATCTCATCGTTGACGTAGTGTTTCATAATTTTTAATTTTTGTGTCATAATTATGACTATTTCATAGTTGACTTTGTATTTCATAACTTTGACTTTTATGTCATAATTATGACTTCCTATTGTCATACATTTGAACTTTTATGTCATAATTATGACTATCTCATAGTTGACTTAGCATTTCATAATTTTGAGTTTGTCATAATTAAGACTATTTATCTCATAGTTGACTTTGTATTTTATACTTCTGAGTTTATCTCATAGTCATGACTTAATTCTGACTATGTGATAATTTAGACTTTCCATTTCATAATTATGACATGGTATGTAATTTTTATACTTTTATGTCATAATTATGACTATTTATCTCATAGTTTACTTCATATTTCACAAGTAAACTTATTGTTTACTTATTTATCTCTTAAATAATAAGGCTTAGTATTTAGTATGTCATAACTATGATTTACTATTGTCATTCATTTTTACATTTTCTCATAGTTGACTTAGCATTTCATACTTTTGAGTTTATCTCATAGTCATGAGTTGGTGCAATTTTTTTTACTTTTGTCATCATAATGACTATTTATCTCATAGTTATGACTTAGTATGTGATAATTTAGACTTTCCATTTCATAAGACATAGCATGTAATTTTTATACGCTTATGTCATAATTATTACTATTTATCTCATAGTTGACTGTCATAATTTCAACTTTCTTAATTATGACTCAGCATGTCATATTTTTACTTTTATGTCATAATTATGACTATTTATATCAGTTGACTTAGTATTTCATATTCTTGACTTATGTCATAATTATTACTAATCATTTCATAGTTGACTTGCTGTTATCATTTTGACTTTCTGTCTCATAGTTATGACTTATGTTATAATTTTATCCCATTATTATGACTATTTATCTCACAATTTCTTCTTATTTCATAATTTAGAAGTGCTTATGTCAAGACATGTTGGAATATGTGTTCCACATGTTAGAATAACACAAAGTAAAGTTGTGAAACTCTGAAATAACAGTCAGAAGCCTGGGAAAGATGAAGTGATCAAACTCTCTAATATTTGAGCTTCTTCTTTGTTTAGACTCCAGCTCTGCTCAATCTGGACATTAACATTTTTTTGCAATTCATTCATATTTGTCTACAAAGCTACTGTTCAAAATCAAAAGGTTTTCAAGAAAATGAATGCATCCAGTTCAGCGTGTCCAAACTTTGGACTGGTAATATATTTTCATTTCTGCAGTAAACATGTCTTTTGTGATTTCTAGATGGATCCACAGACAAAGACTATTAGTAGGACGTCTTGTTTTGATATTATAAATATCACAGACCCGCTTCATCACTCTGTTGATGGCCTCTTCCTCCGTCTCCTCATCACTGTCAGGCTGCTGGAAATCTGACAGTCTGACTGAACAAACACACACAGAGAAACACTGTTGTATTATGCATCTATTTAAAGGTAACATGAAGCATCATTCACAATGCATTTATATTATGTAAAACCTAACAGTAGAACAAAAGATTTGATTTCATATATTAAAGATTTGATTGACTTTCCATTTCTGCTGTAGAAATCAAGGCTGCATTTTGCAAGGAAAAGTAGAGCAATGCAATACAGTACAAAGGCAGAGAAAGTTTTGCACTAATGCATGCACTAATGAACTGTACGCAGTAAGAACCAAGAACATGTAACATGACCCTATATATATATATTCTTAATGCTATAGGTCTTACTGTGAATGATTCATCCATGCATTATAATTTCTTAATATTTATGGTAACTCTTTACAAAAAGGTTCCATTAGTTAATGTATTAACTAACATGAACGAACCATGAACAGTACATTTATTACAGTATTTATTAATCTTTGTTAGTTAAGGAAAATACAGTTGTTCATGTTAATTCACAGTGTATTAACGAATGTTAAGAAGCACAACTTTTGATTTTAATAATGCATTAATAAATGTTTAAATTAACATTAACTAAGATTAATAAATTCGACAGTCATAATTACATTAACACACAGAGAAAAAGTGTAACGGACACCTCGCAGATACAAAAATAATGTTTTATGCTTTGATTAAAAGATAGGCTAGTTAACATTAAACGTTAGTGAAACCCTAAGAATTCACAACATTTTTTTTTCAACAGTGCTCTCATTATAACGTTATGTGTATGACAGTAGTTATTAATATGTATTAACTAACATGAACGAACCATGAACAGTACATTTATTACAGTATTTATTAATCTTTGTTAGTTAAGGAAAATACAGTTGTTCATGTTAATTCACAGTGTATTAACGAATGTTAAGAAGCACAACTTTTGATTTTAATAATGCATTAATAAATGTTTAAATTAACATTAACTAAGATTAATAAATTCGACAGTCATAATTACATTAACACACAGAGAAAAAGTGTAACGGACACCTCGCAGATACAAAAATAATGTTTGATGCTTTGATTAAAAGATAGGCTAGTTAACATTAAACCCTAAGAATTCACAACATTTTTTTTTCAACAGCTTCTCATTATAATGTCATGTGTATGACAGTCCCAGTCATAGTTATTCATATTCTGCATTGTTGTTTGTCCTGCTCGCGCTGAAGAGATAATCACCGTATAATCAGAGATAATCAGTGCAACTCAACCAAATGCATCTTATACGAGATAAATAATATATACATGATATATATATAAACCGTCTGAAATGTTTTGAAATCACTTGTACCCTACCAGATCGAAAATTATCCAGTCTTTCACTCTGTCTGTGTCAGGTTGAGTCTTGTTGAGTCCTGCGATCGCACTCATTATATTTTTTGTGTGTCTCTGGATGTGAACGCACTAGGGCTGTGCGATATTGAAGAAAAATGCGATATGCGATACCTTGTTAAAAAATGCGATATTCGATATGCGATACGATATTGCTTAAAGTGTGTAAAATCAATTTAAATGATATTTTAAAATATTTAAAAATTAAAATTATATAACCAATTTGTTTCACATTCTTTCTTGGAAAATAAAGAATCACTATAACTTCTGAAAGTGACCAGCAGTGTTTTAGCATTACTTAAAAAGTAATGTCACAAATCAGAAAATGTAATTTAACATCAACGTGAACATACAAACAAAAACAATGAATGACACTAATTTTATATCATTGTGACTTTGCTTTCCACACACTTTAAGTACTTCTTCATATACCACAGCAAACACTATAGTCTGAGAAAGTTCAAACATGATTAAAGGCAAGTGAACAGAAAGAAGAAAAAAAAAGAAATACACAATTCACAAGCATAGATAAAATAAACGGTAGTATTCAGGTACAGAAATGTACTAATACTGAAGAGACGCTGCGTGAGATGCAGCTTGTGTGCGCGCTTCAGGTGCGAGTCCGACAGCAAGACGAGACGGCAAAGAGTTGTTTTCTGAAACTTACTGCACTTAATAACTCTTTTTAACATCAAGCTACATGCGTCGAACTAAAACTTTGACCTTTTGCATCGTTTTGATTTAAGTAGCCTATTATTAAAATGATAATGATATCGCACGCCGTTGCGATATGCATATTGCGATATTTCGATATATCGTGTAGCCTAGAACGCACCCTGCTCAGGATCCCGTCCCTGCAGGAAAGCCAGTCTCCTGGCCATCTCCAGCATCTGCTGCTGGTTGTGTTTGTCTTTCTTCAGCTCCTGCATGGCCTCCTCCAGCACACGGCTGTTCTCCGCCTCCAGCTGTTTGATTGACAGCTCGCCCTCATCCTCGTTCTCATTCACACCCCCGCCCTCTTGCTTATTAAGATCGTTTAATGGTCCATCTGAGTGCGACACAAACGAGATATCACTGAGAAATATCATCACCGTTGACTAATCACAGTACATTCAGACAAACAAGTTTTCTGAAATGTTATGTTTCAATATGCAAATGCAGCATCATCTAATTAAATATGCATTCATTTGCATACATTTCCAGAACAGAAACCAGTTCATTGGATAAAGCCAGGTTCAAAATTCTTGTCATTTTGCTGACATATAAAGGTTTTTACACCATAAAATCAGAAAATAATAAACTTTCACCATGTTTTTAGGAATAAAATGTTATATAAGGTCAATGATATATGAACAAACCCCTAAAATAAAGTTTAAGTTTCTATTTTATTTTATTTCAGATAAAGTGCATTTTATTTCAAGTGAAAACGTATTTAGTTAACTATAATAATCCGGACTTTTACTATTAGTAGTTGAATATATTCAAAATATTTTAAGATTTAAGATAATTTTATTAAGATAACACTTTTATTTTATTTCTGCTCAGCCACAATGTGAAGGGGGAAAACTGTAGCTTATTAACAACATTATAAATTAATATTATAAACCTAAATAAATATTTAGTTTCTATTTTTTCTACTTACTACAGTACTGTCCTGTTAGAAGAATTATTTATTTGTTTATTAAATAATTCTATTTTTTTTTCATTTTTATTTATTTTAATCCAATGTAATTTATTTAGTCTAATTTTTATTTATTTTATTCAACAGAGAGAAAAATATATATTTCACCATATTTTTAGAAATAAAATGGGTAACACTTTACAATAAGGTCTATTAGTTAACGTTCATTAATGCATTAACTAACATTAACTGACAATTAGCAATATTGCTACAGTATTTATTAACGTTTTTTAACGTTAATTAATAAAAGTAACAACGGTTAATTGTTAGTTCATGTTAGCACAGGTCCATTAAGTAATATTAACAGACACAACTTTGAATTTTAATAATGTATTTTAATATGTTGAAATTAATATTAATGAGATAAATAAATGCTCTGATTGTTAGTTCATGTTAACTAATGTTGACACATGAAACCTTACTGTAAAGTGTTACCATAAAATGTTATATAAGTTGAATGATATAAAAACAAACCCCTCTATAAAAGCCTTTAAAATATAGACAGGAATAGAATAGAACAGAACTGACTAAAATTAAATAAAATTGACTAAAATAAACAAACAAATTAAATTAAAATAAAAAAAAAAAAAATAAAATAAAATAAAATAAAATAAAATAAAATAAAATAAAAGCCCTACAGTACTGTCCTGTTAGAAGTATTATTTATTTGTTTATTAAATTATTCTATTTTTTTTTTAATTTTCATTTATTTTAATCCAATGTAATTTATTTAGTCTAATTTGTATTTATTTCATTCAACAGAGAGAAAAATATATATTTTCACCATATTTTTAGAAATAAAATGGGTAACACTTTACAATAAGGTCTATTAGTTAACGTTCATTAATGCATTAACTAACATTAACTGACAATTAGCAATATTGCTACAGTATTTATTAACGTTTTTTAACGTTAATTAATAAAAGTAACAACGGTTAATTGTTAGTTCATGTTAGCACAGGTCCATTAAGTAATATTAACAGACACAACTTTGAATTTTAATAATGTATTTTAATATGTTGAAATTAATATTAATGAGATAAATAAATGCTCTGATTGTTAGTTCATGTTAACTAATGTTGACACATGAAACCTTACTGTAAAGTGTTACCATAAAATGTTATATAAGTTGAATGATATATAAACAAACCCCTCTATAAAAGCCTTTAAAATATAGACAGGAATAGAATAGAACAGAACTGACTAAAATTAAATAAAATTGACTAAAATAAACAAACAAATTAAATTAAAATAAAAAAAAAAAAAATAAAATAAAATAAAATAAAATAAAATAAAATAAAATAAAAGCCTGGTGCAAGTGCTGCTAGAAAAAAAAAACTCACAGCCTTTAAAGATATGAATTGTAACTGAAATTTACAGATGCATTAGATAGAGTGCAACAAAACAAACGCTTAAATTCATTTTTGGATGCTTTCTTTACACTACTATTAAATAGGACATGTCATGGAAGCAAAATAGCCCAAAAACAATAGTTTTACATGTAGTGTCTTGCCTTAACCACATTAAAATCCCTGTAACATATGGCTTTGTGATGCTTTTTGCTTTATAGAACTGTTATGTTCATTGTTTAATAAAATCGAGAAATCCCGTGCCCTGAAATCAATTTTAATGTACACTATAAAACTGCAATGCATCATTCGTCATAAAACTAAATCAGGATATTAAAATTCACAACTGAAAATAAATTGGGCAATTAGAAATGGTGAACGTACCCTCTGAAGATGGATGCTGGTTATCAATAGCAACTTCTTCTGTCATCTGGGCGATCAAATCATTGGTCTGCTCTGTCTGAGTCCTGCTGTCGGGCGGCTGATGAACCTGCACACATTAAACATGCACAGAAAGCGTGCTGTCGTGTCACTCATGGCAAGAGCATTAGTAGTGAAAGCTGATATTGAAGTACAGGCCGTGGGGCTTGAGAGGGCGACGGTCGTCCCTGTAGGGCAGCCAGACGCTCCTCCGTGTCTTTAGCAGACGGCACGAAGGACTGAAGCGGGGCTCTTAACGCAGCGAGACGAGACTCCAGCTCCTTCTCTGATGGTATGGACTCTGATAAGACAGAGACACAACACATCAGATCAGGGACGTAGAAGAGAATTTTAGATGGGTGGGTTTGTTTTATTCTTCTGTTATTGTTTTGTTTTTTTTTTGCTTTGAGAAATACTAAATACTAAATAAAATGATTATTAACTGAATTTATTTATACAAGTTTTACCGGAGTTATTTAAGTATCACTGACATACTATTATATTTTTTATTAATTTTCCTTCTTTATTTTTATATTTTCTATATTGTTTTAGTAATTTTATTTTATTTTTTTAAATGCGTCTATATAGTTACTAATATTTAATATAATTTTTTTTACATTTAAATCTGTTTATTAATTTTATTTCAGTTTTAGTTATTTTTATCAACTTAAACTAATTAAAAATTAGACATGTTGCCTTGGCAACTAGCTGAAATAAAATTATTAAAAGCTGAAATAAAATATTAATATTATAAATATCCATAAAATATAATTTGGACAAATATTTTGTTTCTATCGAGTCACATTATTAATTTTAATCAAATTTTTAATTATTTTTTTTTATCAATTTTCATTTATTTATTTTAATCAATTTATTTTTCAATAAATTGTACAATATATTTTACATTTTTATACACTTATTTATTTTAATCTTATTTATTTATTTTTTACACTGACCTCAGACCCCATTTTGAAAACCCCTGCAGATGCTTTTATCCAAAAGCGACTTGCATTGCATTAATGCATTCAAGGTACAGCATAAATTTGATCAAGTACTACTGATTAAAAGTCATGTCACACAGTTTTTATTCATGAATATTCAACATTAAGCCCTTGAGCAATAATTGAACCTCTACAGGAATATGGTTTATGGATAATTTGACACAAAATGAAAAACATCATCACTGGTTCTCAGCTGAAAGTACACCAAGCCACTTGTGTGTTCTTCTGTGCCACCTCTACAAACTAATTTTGCTAATACTGATTTCATTTGATTGGTAACTTATATTTCTTATTCTACTTGTTCTTATTCTGTCATTTAATTAAAATTTTTAAAAAGCTTACAAAACATAATTTTACCTATATATACCTATATAATATAATAATATCACCTCGTAATGGGAAGGCTACTTTTTGATAAAATTTGGGATAGTTGTTTAGAAGGTGCTCCTAAAACTTTGAACGTGCTCCTAAATTTTTTAAGTTAGGAGCACAAGTGCTCCTAAAAAGAAAAGTAAGCGTCGAGCCCTGATAATATCTTAATATCTTCATGCATTATAGCTGCATTTGAAAATCATGACAGTAATGTTTATAATATCTTAATATCTTCATGCATTATAGCTGCATTTGAAAATCATGACAGTAATGTTTATAATATCTTAATATCTTCATGCATTATAGCTGCATTTGAAAATCATGACAGTAATGTTTATAATATCTTAATATCTTCATGCATTATAGCTGCATTTGAAAATCATGACAGTAATGTTTATAATATCTTAATATCTTCATGCATTATAGCTGCATTTGAAAATCATGACAGTAATGTTTATAATATCTTAATATCTTCATGCATTATAGCTGCATTTGAAAATCATGACAGTAATGTTTATAATATCTTAATATCTTCAAGCATTATAGCTGCATTAATGTTTATAATATCTTAATATCTTCATGCATTATAGCTGCATTCGGCAGATTAGAGCTGGGTGATAATAAAGTTTACATTATAAAGCAATTTAAACAAATCGAGCTGTTCAGAAGGCAGATTTTGACAGATCTTACGTGGCTTGGCTTCCTCTTTCAGCTTGTTGAGTCGTTCTGCGATGATCTGGTCCTCTTTACTGAGTCCTCTGGAAGAAACCAGACTCACAGAGCTGCTTCTCGCTCCCGCAGGTCTGGACGGCTGGTTCTGCGCAGCTTGTTTGGCTTCAAGAGCAGCAACTCGCCTGTAAGATGCCACAGATGTGTGTTAGTCCATTGCCACACAGGTGTATTTGTCACGTGATGCTTACTTTTTGTAGTTTTCAGGTGGGGACCATCTGCCAGCATCACTCTGGTTGCCTGAGCTGCACAGAAAGACCTGTCAGTTGTGCATTAGTGAGTATACAACCCATGTTCAGTCTGAATATAACCTGTGTTTGGCTTCCAGACCTTGTTAGGTTCCCATAACACTGTTTGCAGACTTTCTGCTGGCTGTCTCCATATTTTGCATTGAATGCCAGACACCCAGAGCAGAAAGCATGGCCACAGTTTCTACAACCCAACTGCAAACACACAAACCCGAGTCAAACGCTTTCAATTCAGGCGGTGAAATGAAATAACCTGTATTTATATCCGCTAACCTCTTTTCTGAAGAGAGTGAACTTTGATGCACAGCCACAACAGCGATTATCCATGACTTACTCAGATTCCTCAGGCACACACGGTGCCAGTGTGAGACTTTAAACGCTCAAGATTGTAATTAAACACATGCATTTAGAGTGTGTTACCATTTCAGATGCACTTTATCAATGACGCTTCTCTTGAATCAAGAGCATGTAAACACAGGAAGCGCTGTGTGTGGACCGGGATGTATTGGGAAATGTAGTTTTCTCGCTTGCAGCAATCAAAACTATTGTAGTTTGAAAGGATCAATACATGCAAAATAGTGTAAAGTCTTATTAAAAATTACAGTAATTACCTGAAATTATCTTATCTGTCAATGTCGAATAGAACAATCGATGCTGTTAAAGATGAAACGTACCGGGAAAACTCATTTTCCCAGCATGCAACACGACGGTTGGTGTTGCTAATCGTCGAAATTTATGACGAGCAAAAATAACTGTCAAAAACAACGTCGCTATTATAATACATTAAAAAAACGTTTATTCAAAAATATAAATATATATATATAATAATAGCCTGTTATTATTTTAGAGAAGGTCACGTGAGCGGTTGCCCAATCAGAATCTCTTCAGCGCGCTTCCGGTTTTTGTTCAAATGTCTTTTGCAGAGACAACACAATCTTACGAGACCAAGAAATAAATCAAATAAACGCACATTTGTACATTTGTGCTTCATAAAGACGCGAAGAAAGCGTATTAAGGATATTTCAGGAGGGTAAATGTAAGTTATATTTGTTTTGTGTGACTTATGTCGCTGATGTGTTCGTTCACTTTCACGTTTTAGTGTGTTTTGTTCATTATTTTACTGCTTTATCTCTTCAAGAGCTTTCATTTGTTGCTTTTGTGGGTTTTTTGGACATTATATTAACTTATCAGTCTCGTCTGTTCATCAAGCCTGCATTTATTTGATCAGAAATACAGAAAAACTGTAATATTGTTTAATATTTTATATATATATATATTTTCACTAACTGTTGCCTCCTGGTGGAGTGACCTGCCCGACTCAATCCCAGCAGCCGAGTCCTTAAACATCTTCAAGAAACCACTAAAAACACATCTCTTCCACCTTTATTTGACCCTCTAACTCTAGCACTCTGCAGCTGTATTTTCAGCATCATTCCTCCAGTCTTCAGTGTCACATGATCTTCAGAAATCAGTATAATATGCTGATTTATAATCAGTTAGTTTTGCTGCTTAATATTTTTTTTTTGGGGGGGGAACATGTGATACTTTTTCAGGATTATTTGATTAATAAAGTTAAAAAAAGAACAGCATTTATTCAAAATATAAGCAGGGTAAACAATATACACTACCATTTAAAAGTTTGGGGTCAGTCATTTTATTTATTTATTAATGTTTTTTGAAAGAAACGAATGCTTTTATTCAGCAAGGATGTGTTAAATGAATAAAAAAGTGATAATAAAGACTAAGATTTTAATTAAATGCTTTGCTTTTTAACTTTGTTAATCAAATAATCCTGAAGAAGTATCACAGGTTCCAAAAAAAATATTAAGCAGCGTACTTGAAATTAAACTAAATAAAAAATTAGATGTTTAGCTTTTTTTTTTTTTTTTTTTAAATATCATTATTTGAGTTACAGTTTATTTTAAGTAAATGGAAAAATAAAACATATATTTTTAATGGTTTTAGTTTTGAAAGCCCCCGTGCCGGTGTTATTTTAATATCATTAGTATATTATTACATGTTATATATATAGTTTTAATGAATATTTTGTAATTAGTTGTTTTATATTTTCTGCATTTTTGTTGTTTTTGTCATTTTACTAGTTTTTTAATATATATATCTATGTAGTTTTTATACATTTTTATTTCCGTTTTATTTATTTTAGTACTTGAAATTAAACTAAATAAAAAATTAGATGTTTAGCTTTTTTATTTTTAAATATTAAATTATTTTTTTTTTATTTCATTATTTAATTTACAGTTTATTTTAAGTAAATGGAAAAAGAAAAAATATATTTTTAGTGGTTTTAGTTTTGAACCCCCTGTGCCGGTGTTATTTTATTATCATTAGTATATTATTACATGTTATATATAGTTTTAATTAATAATTGTAATTATTTTTTTTTTATTTTTTTTTGCATTTTTGTTGTTTTTGTAATTTTACAATTTTTTTTATATATCTATGTAGTTTTTATTTGTTTTATTTATTTTAAGTTAAACTAAACGAAAATGAGAAATGTTGCCTTAAGTTTAAAGAAAAAAGTTTTTTAATATTTCTCTAAAGTTAATGTTTATTTTTTTCAAGTAACATGTTTTTTAACAGTTTTAGTTTTGGTTAACGATAATAACCGTGCTCCCGGCACTAATAAATCGCACACAATAAGACGAGAAACATGCATAAACAAAGTAGGGATGCACCGATATGAAAATTTTGGCCGATACCGATAACCGATTATTCTTTATTTTTGAAAGCCGATAACCGATATGTTGGCCGATAAATCTATATCCAAATTGTTATATACTTTTTGAGAGCCTGATTACAAAAAAGGTCTCATCATTAAAAGCCACATCCCAAACACTTCAACATAAGCAGCCTAGTTTGAACGGTGTACATTTTAAAAATATTTTTACTCTCCCATTACCAAATTTAGTCATAAAAAAGCCTTACAAATAAATAAAATTATGCATAAATAATGCAAACAAGTCACTGGACATCATTACACGTGTAAAGAATCAAAATGAATGCGCCACAGATCAATAAAACGGAATAGCCTCTGCACGGACAATAATTAAATGATTTTAATTACTAAGTATAAATATATATATTGAATTAGTTTCTATTTATGTATTTTCTTTTTATTTTTTTTTTTGCATTTTAGTAATTTTGTTGTTTTTTTGTCATTAAAATTTTTTTTTTTTTTTTTAAATAGGACTATATGCTTTTTATTCATTTTTATTTCAGTTGTAGTTATTGAAATTAAACTAATAAAATAAAATATGACAGCTTTCTGCTGGTCATTCACTGCTGCATCAGCAGGTGGCGCTGAAGAGTGAGAAGCCAAAAACACAGAAGGTTGCTGATGTTTGAGTGTTTAATCAAGTGAGAAGTGCTCTTCTTTTTTATTTTGGACAGAGGCTTGTCCATTAATTAATAAATTAATAGCTATTAATAATGCATTTTTGGTCAAATATATATATATATATATTAGTGCTGTCAAAAATAAAAGTTTTTGTTTACATATTATATATGTGTGTGCTGTGTATATTTATTATGTATATATAAATACACAAACATACATATATACATTAAAAAAAATATAGGCACCTACATGTGTGTGTATTTATACAAGAATGTATATTATATATATATAAAAAAAAAATTTGTATATATAAACTAAACATATTTTTCTTAAATATATGCATGCATGTGTGTGTATTTATATATGCACAATAAACATACACAGTAGCCTATTCACATATATTATGTAAACTAGAACTTTTTTCAGTCAAAAAATAAACTAATAAAAACTTCAGTGTTGTTTACTGAAGACGTCTCCATCTTTTAAAAGCAGGTAAGTCACTGTTTCATCATTGCATCAAAGCATTATTTTGCTCTTCCAACCCAAAAGTCAGACTGAAAAAAATTATGTATATTCATGTTAATAACAATAAACATCCGGATGTAAATACCAGAGTCAGAAAAGATAAGTTTGAAGCCTCTGTAGATTTAATAATCAATGTGTTCATCTAAAACATTTCTCTATTTTACTAAACTAAAGTACAGAGAGAGCTCTAGAGGTTGCTGCATTTATTCTAATACTTTGTCTGTTCACATAAAACATCATGTGCAAATTCAGCTTTTACTTTCATAATACCTTTTAAGATCAACAAAGCCAAAATTCATCTGCAACTCCTAAAATGTATCAATGTAATGATTCAGCCTGATCACAATATTGCCAGAACAGTCAAGCGCAAAAAAACATTTCGCCTTTTCTTTTTAGATGCTCCTTGTGAATAAATGCATGCATTGTGGGTGCAATGCATTCTTTTCTGGGTGAATGAGTGAATGGGTGTTTCAGTGAATGGAGGATCAGCAGCTCTATTAATATGCTGAAGACAAAAAAACAAGAGCTCATGGGGCGTCATTGTTTCGGGATGGACTTTAATTGCCCTGCGTAACAAAAAGCTCTGAAAGGACAAAAGCAGCAGAGCAAATCACACCACAGACCAGATCAATGTGTTTATCAGGGAATTTTGCATTAATTTGACATTTGGTCTCATGTATTGACAGTAAGCGCTCATAGATGAGCACTGAAGACATGAAGAGCTGTTCATAATGAGGACAAACAGCATCTGCTTTGCACTTTATTACTAACTGAGATGTAAATGTCTCTCAAATTCAAATATCTTGTGGTTTTAGATGAACACTTATGAAGCGGAGAGTTCCGGTGCTTGACTCTGATTGGCTGAGCCGCGTTCGAAGCTGTTGTAAATGACTCTACAAAGTAACACACACCTTTGTTTACTTCTGTGTGTGGGTCTTTGTAGCAACCACAACTGTTTCTGAGGCGCTACATTGTTTGGTGGAAGAATACTGTCTTTATTAATATCATTACACTTTATTTGCTCTGTTTTATTTTGTGAAACCTATGGAATAACCATTTTATATTCTTCGCGTCGTGCCTAACAACGCCCCTTAGCTGTTATAAATTCATGGCTTCTTGGGGCTTATTGCTTTATTTACAGCTATTGATTATTATTGGCGGGTATTGTCAGTGGCTTTGATGATTTGACTTCATGATTAATCTGCTAAACTAGTCATAAATGTCTTAATTTCCTAAATTAATGTTCATTTTTTGGTATTTTTTGTGTTGAGCTAAAAGCACAGAAGTATTGAAGGAAGTCTCAATAAAATCCGGATTAAAATTCTATTAAAAAAAATAGTTTTGAAAGCGGTTTGAAATAAAAGTTGATTAAATATTCTATAAATCGTTTCTAAAAATATTATTAATATTTTGTTCACCAAATTAAAACACTAAATCGTATAAAAACAAGATAATGCTAAATAATGTATAATTCTTAATAATATAAAAAAATAAAAATACTGAAATATATTAAATATATTTTATATTTCTATAAATATATTAAATGCACAATACCATAGTGAAATTCAAAACATGCAGTTGTTA